GTCTTTTTTCCGTGTCCGGCAACGGATCGCAACCCTCAGTGTTGCCCCCGTACCGGGCCGGGGACCGGCAACGGGATTGCAACCCTCGGTGTTGCTCCCGCGCCTCGCTCAGCCAGTGAGCGGGAACCGGTCTGTATGTGGGATCCGAACCCTCGGGCGGGAGCGCCGCCGCACTTCTCAAGCGGCGCACTTATCCAGTGCGCCACCGGGCCAGCCCCCAGACCATTACCTTTTAAGTACACTGAAGTAAAAATCCTCAACAAAATACTAGCAATCTGAATTCAGCAGCATACTAAAAGGCTTATATACCACGACCAAATGAGATTTAGACATAAAATGAAAGCATGTTTCAACATATGAATATTGATCAATGCAGGAGCTCTGGGCTGTAGTGCGCTATGCTGATCAGGTGTTTGCACTAAGTTCAGCATCAATATGGTGACCTTCTGAAAGTGGGGGGTGGGGGGTGCAGGCGACCAGGTTGCCTAAGGAAGGGTCAACAGGCCCAGGTCAGAAAATTGATCAATGTAAACATAAAACATCTGATATCTCAATTGATGCAGAGAAAGCATTTGACAAAATTCAACACCTTTTCATGATAAAAGCATTCAATAAACTCAGATTAGAAGAGAACTTCCTCAACATGAAAAAGGCCATATATAAAGTTTTCACCCTAAGATAAGGAACAAGACAGGGATGCTAGCTTTCATCACTTCAATTCAACATAGTAAAGGAATGACTAGCAAGAGCAATTAGGCAAGAGAAAGAAAAAAAGGTATTCCCTCCGGTCCCCCCAAAAGATATCCAAATTGGAAAGGAGGAAGTAAAACTATCTCTATTTGTAGATGACATGATCCTATATGTAGATAACCCCAAAGAATCCACACAAACACACAAAAACCCCCAAAATGTTAGTGTCAATAAACGAATTCAGCAAAGCTGCATATTTTTTTTAAAGTTGTATTATTTCTGTACATAATCAATAAACAACCCAAAAAAGACATTAAGAAAAAAGTTCCATTTACATTGCACCAAAAAGAATAAAATAAATTTAAGCAAGGAGGGGCAAGACTTCTACACTGAAAACCATAAAACACTGCTGAAAAAAAATTTAAAAGATGTAAATAAATGGAAAACCACCTTCTGTTAATGGACTGGAAGACTTAATATTAAGAAAACAATACCACCCAAAGTGATACACAGATTCAATGTCATCCCTATCAAAAGCTCAATGGTAATCTTTACAGGAATGGGAAAATGCATCCTAAAATTCATATGAAATTTCAAAAGCCAAAACAATCTTGAAAGAGAAAAAAGTAAGAGGACTCACACTTCCCAATTCTGAAACTTACTACAAAGCTACAGTAATCAGTGTCATATGGCAAACAGACAGAAAAACAGACAATTTGAATAGAATTGAGAGCCCAGAAATAAACACTTATATATATATGGTCAACTGATTTTTGACAAGGATGCCAAAACCAATCTGTGGGGAAAGAACAGTTGCTTCAACAAATGGTGTTGGAAAAAGTGGATATACACAAGCAAAAGAAAACAAAAGAAGAAATCTGAACTTTTGTCTTATGCCACACACAAAAATTAACTACAGTGGATCAAAGAGCTTAATTTAAGAGCTAAAACTATAAAAGTCTTAGAAGAAAACATAATAGAAAATCATTATGAACCTGGATTTCTTAAATACGACAAAGAAAAGGACAAGCAACAAAAGAAAAAAACAAATAAACTGAGTTTCATTAAAATTAAAAACTTTTGGGCCAACCCCATGGCGTACTCGGGAGAGTGCTGCGCTGGGAGCGCAGAGACGCTCCGGCCACGGGTTTGGATCCTATATAGGAATGGCCGGTGCGCTCACTGGCTGAGCGCGGTGCGGGCGACACCACACCAAGGGTTGCGATCCCCTTACCGGTCACAAAAAAGACAAAAAATAAAAAATAAATAAAAATAAAAACTTTTGTGCATCAAAGGACAGTATTAAGACTTTAAATGATATTCCCAATAAGGGATTAATATACAAGTATATAAAGAACCTCCACAAGCCAACAACAAAAAGAGAACCCAATTTAAAAATGGGTAAAATACTTGGACAGACATTTCTCCATTTAAATGCATACTTAAAATGGCAAAAACTGCAAATTTTGTTTCATATATTTTACCACAATTAAAAAAACATACTGCTTCTGACACAGTAAGTTACTAATTTCTATAAAATTAAATAACCACATTTTCAAAAAACATTATTTAGCACTTCAAATTACATGGTAATTTAAATTGAATGTTCAAAGGTACTCAAAAGTGTTACATCCTAGGTAGAACAAAGGCAGGACAAAAAATATGTCCCACTGATTTCAATTCTAACTGCAATTACTACATGTTCTCCAGTACTCTTCCCGCATCACAGCTACCTTTCACAAGTCTAATCCTTCTTCTACACGACTGCCTTGCAATGCAAATATAGCTAAAAGGTCCTTTAACATACACCTTTATTCTAGGCAAATATATACATCACTTTTTCATTTTATGAATTTGCAAATAGAACACAAATAAAAAATTTACAAAATAAACAAATTAGAATTGAAAAGATATTTTAGGAATTCCCTATTTCAAATTCTGCATTTTATAAATGAGGCAACTGAAGCCCAGAGAAGTAAAATTTTTAGTCACATTGCTGGGACTAAAACCTGTGTTTTCTGCAACCTGATGATGAGGCTTCTTAAAATATCTAATCGAGGGCTGGCCCCGTTGTGCACTCGGGAGAGTGCGGGGCTGGGAGCACAGCGACGCTCCCGCCACGGGTTCGGATCTTATATAGGACTGGCCGGTGCGCTCACTGGCTGAGTGCGGTGCGGGCGACACCACACCAAGGGTTGTGATCCCCTTACCGGTCATGTAAAAGACAAAAAAAAAAAATATATATATATATATATACATATATATATATATATATATATATATATATATAT